ACATTCTTCCACTCGTTCGAAATGCAGAATTTGATTCTCTCGCACGTCATCGTATCGTAATACTGTTTTGCCTTATCTCTCACGTTTGCTTGTTGACACAGCAAAAGTCACTAACATGCTGCGCCAGCGCTTGTTGGAGTAACAGTTCTGCTTTTTTTCCACTTTTCTACCCAAGCATGCATATTGATATTATTATCCAGATGTTCGCAGTGGTGGTGTAAATGCTAAAAATGAACCCATTAGGTTCATAAAGCTTATTTTGACTTGACTTGAACCATAGTCTTGTTCACCCGGGGATTTGGTCGGATAATCAACCGGTGGCCGATGGGTTAAAACGTCTCCGCTGGAACTCAGGGACCACCGTTCCGAGACTGCACGTGTGCGCGTGAGCTGGTAGTATATCTTCAACCTGCATGCGGTTGGCAGTGGTTGCGTTGCAGAGAAGCATCAGTATGAAGTGTCAGAGAACTACGGGCGTTTTTATTCTTTCCTTCATTGACAACTGTGCATCTGTGGCGAATGAGTTCAAGTGTATGGCCTGGAATCTCTAGGCCGCGGGTTCAAGTCCCCAATCATGCGTAGCTTTGGCTGCCATGCCAGTACCTTCAGGCAGTGCAAAAGCGATGGCGATAGGATGAAACCAATGCATCAGCACAAACTACTCGGCTACTGCTGGAACTTCTTCCCTCTGTGATTAGAAACACCAGCTAAAGGGTAGTAATGTTTTAACGTCTACAAAGCACCGCGGTCATGTTTCCTGCGGTGATAGAGTAACGGCAGCGTCGTAGCAGGCTAGGACAACATAAGAGGGAATCAGCAAACATCGGTACTACCCAAACTGGACTGAGTAAATGTCCGCGAATCACGGTGTCCAGAGTCGTAGATAATGCCGTTGAGACCCAGTGTCAATATTGGTGGCAACTAGTTCCCTGCATCTATTCAAGAGAACTGTTAGCACTTGGCATGATTATATTACGTTACCTTCTAGTAAAGTAGAACAGTGGGCCAATGAAATACTGTGGCGCCATATGACGCCGCAGTCAGAAACAACGGAAAAAGCTAACACAACGTAACAGTGACGAGTGTCAGTATTCCTGTGGCACACTGTCCGGTGGACCGATGAGTTAGCACTTGAATCATAGAGACTGACGCCTCGCGGCGTCGGAAGTATGCAAGGTATCAGCTGTAAAGTGAAAACGAATTGCTCTAGGAAAGGAAGAAGGTAAAATAAACAAGGAAAGAAAGAGGATATGTTGGGTGGTATCACTGAACACACAAGATTCGAACGCAACATTCAATGTCGATGGAGGAAGGCTCCTGGATGTGAACAAACTTACTCAACAAGTTGCGCATGCGTTGAGAGACTAGGAAAGCGTGCTCCGCTGCAAAGCAGCAGAAAAGTAATGCTCATTACTCCGTCGGTAGTGAAAAGCACCGACAAGAGTATGCAATGATAATTGAATTGGTATTCGCAGTTAAATTACATGTGGTACATACTTAAGAAGCACGTGAATATCGCAGAAAAGAAAACTATTGGGTGATTTCTTTGTATATAGCAGCGTGATCATTGCCACAATGTTATCGCCGAATGCAGCCTTTGCACCACATCAGGAAAATTTGAACCATGCAGAGAAGACGACTGGTATCCGTCGCAACGCAACTAGAACTTTACGTGATGCGACGGTTTGCGTACCTCTTCGGCGTATTGAGCTATACTGGGTGGTGCTCCTTGGGAACAACTCCTACCAGGTTGGTCAATTGTTAGGTGTCAGACAAACTCAGTCTCCTGGACCTCCAGGTGGGGATTTTGAAATAGGACGATGTCCATTTACGTAAAATTAAACCCTTGTCACCACCCAGCTGCCTTGCGGACAGACTTTTGAGCCAAAGACTTGGTTGGGGACCCTAATCGTCCTCCTGTCTAGGTCTGGGCGCCTGGAAGCATCACAACTCATCATGACTACCTACTCAAATTTCAACCACATTCTGCATTCGCCGTCGCGCAACTTACTAAGGGTCGCCTTATCCGCTGCATACAACAGGGCAGATAAGCGAAAACATACTACTGCTGGCGTTGCCCTTCTTTCTTTTCACTTGTTTTCTCACGCGCCTCCAACCCCCATTACTAACCTTTCCTCCATAAACCCCAGCTTAATTGACAGCAGCCGCAAAGTCACGGTAGCTATCTTCCCGCACTACCCACCGGACGTCAAGAGACCATTGTAAGGCAACAATGTATCGTTTCCCTGGTGATGTTAAAAGGCAGCACTTTAAGCCAAATAGGTCGAAAGGGGATATGAATGCGCAAGTAGGTTGTTTGGGCACTTGAGAAGCTCAGCCAGAAGGCGTGTATGGACGGACAACGGCGAGCGCTTGTTGCAAATGTGCGCCAAGCGATGGCTGTTTTTTAGTAGCACCGCTTCTAGACACAGTGGGCGCCGAAGTGTCACTTGAAGTCCCCTATGACTGGTCAGCGGTGGACCAACGTTGCCTTAAGTTACAGGTGACGTGGTTCCATCCCGGATTGTCGCTCGTACTGGAATAGCTACGTCGATGCTGACCATGCCATGGCACGTTGTTGTTTGCCATGAACTGGAGACGCACAAAGCAGCTCACGCGACAGGTAAATGAGAGGTTATCCCAGTCCACTGTCAGACAAACCTACCAGGATGACTTTTGTACCGAAGTTCCGCTTTCTCGTCTTAATGACATTGGGCTTTAGTGGAATAAAACCTAGGTCGCCATGCACGATGCGGGAGCCTGTGCTTGCGGCACTACCAATCTTCACGGTGTCAGTCACTGAATGTCCCAAAGGTTGGTGAACCAGTTGGAATTCAGAAGAAAACTCCCGACTGGCTCTGGGCACAAGGTGCCCAGATGAATTATTAGGCGCGAATTAAAGATGAGCCTGCATGCTGAGAAGGAAGCCTGGTGAACCAGTAGGGCTTGAGTGCTAGAGGAAGAGGGAGTAGTGGACAATTATCACAAGCTCTTCCAATTGATGTGCACCACTGGTCCCTGGAGACCGGGCACATGGCTCGTTGGGTGGAGCAATGTCGAGAGCAGTTCAGTTGTCTCCATGCTCTCGGACTTCTTCTTACGCAGGTGGTACAGGCTGTCGTGGCCAGTAAGTTTGGATGCTCCATGGGAGGCCGAGGTCCGAAACTGGATCACAACCCTTAAAGGTATTGGAGCTGCAGGTCCGGATTACGTCATACCCGTACTACACAGGGGTATTGGTGAGGTCGTTCGCAAAGCATTGACCTCTCTGTTCGAACAGATCTGGAAGGAAGAGAGTACCCCGGCTAACTGAAGTGAATAAATTATGGTGGCAATATACAAGGGTAGCAGTGCTCACTGCGTTAACCACAGAAGTATTAGCCGAACGCCAGTTGTGACAAAATTACTGGCCTCAGTTTTTTTCATCGCCACAGCGCGGAACGGGAGTCTCGGATTAAGGAAAAATAAGGTTGCTGTCCAGGACCATATACTACTCTGCGGCAGGTGCTAGAGCAGCGGAACACGTACCGCAGACCGACAATAGCTGAGTTTGTCGACTTCAAGAGTGCGTCCGACTCAGTCGGTCGATGCATTCTATACGAAATACTTGTGCGGAAAGGTGTTCCCACAAAATATGTGAACATTCTACGTGTTCTGTAATCGAACAGCACAGACTACGTCTGGATCTACAGTGACTTGTTAGGATATCTTTTCAACAACAACTGGCGTTCGTCAGTGTCGCTCAATCTTCCCATTTTGTTCAATTTCGTCGTGAGCTCCATCATTGAGTGCTCCCTTCCGAAAACTTATGATGCAGGTATTGCCTGTCAAAAAGCTAGTTGAGCTTGATTATGCTGGTGACTGTCATGTTGTCAAACGATGTTGCGACAGCCCAGTTGACCCTGAACATCCCTCAAAAGTAGTCCCATCATTTGACATGCACTTCGCACCTGTAAAATCCAAAGCGTTGTTGCGAGACCACCGGTCACTTGATAACCCTTTGACCGCTGATAGCATGGAACTGGAGGCAGTTGATCACTTAGCCTACAGTGGCAGCTGTATCAGCAACGATGATCGTATAACGAATAAAAGCAGCTCACGTATTGACTTCTTGAATCTTTGAGGTCAGAAAAGAGCTTCCCTCAGTCTGTAAGGCCGTGTTTACAAGGCCACAGTGAGCACCGTCCTGTTCCATGGAAGTGAGACAACCCATTCGATCTGAGGAGCCTACAAGTCTTGGAACGTTGCTGGCGTCGGATGGCACCAGCGTGTCCGCTACGATGATCTGCGTCGGCGGGTGCTAAGTAATCATAATCAGGCTAGTTCTTTAGAACAACAGACAACACTAATTAAATTGCGTTGCATTGGGCACGTACTAGGCATGTCCGGCCAACGCTAACAGAGAAGGGCCTTGTTTTGTTCTCTGGATGTAAAGGACACAAGGCTCGAGGTTAGCTTGGCAGCGGAAAATGGAATCACTGACGACCAAACTGAGAGTCAGCGGTCCATCTCGCCTTTCAGGCTGGAGTGAATGTGACTCGCCCTGCGCTTAGCTCGAGACTACAGGAGGTAACTCGCAGTCGACACCAGTGACCAGTCTGCTGCTGTCTCGTCGTCGGACTGCCTGTTTAAAGTGTATTTGGTGTTGAGTTGTCTGACGGGTAATGGCTGATTGTGATACGGGACAGGGAAAGCCGCAAGGAAGCTGTCTCGCCGATGCCGCCTTATCTTTGCACGATAGCCAGCTGTTTGTGATGGTATGTTGTCCATACAAGGTGTAAGCGCCTTGACCCTGAATGTTTGCTTAGGCCATTGGGATTTTACGCTAAGTCCCCCTTCTCTCACCCTTATCGTTCTTCGTTCCGTAGATCACTGTGGTTGTACGGCAGCGAAGCATCAGTCCAATCGGCTGATGTAATGCTGTTGATGATGGTGATAGGTTGGAACAAGTAGAATGTACAAGTGAATGACGCAAGGGCACGGATGTATGTCCAACTCACCAGAACCAGACTGATCCAGCTGAACAAAGGCGGCGGTGGCTCGGCTGGTCGGCGGGGGTTCGTCGACAGGACCGATGAAATCCAATCCACCAAGATGCCATTCACCCGAAGTGGCAACGAATATGGCATCTAGTCGAACAGCATTGTGGGATAACTTGGCATCATCATTCAAGAAGGCCAGTGCACGGGAAATCTAGGAAACAGTAGGGAATAGGTGGACGTCTAATTCTAAACGAAAATGTGAGTAAAATAAACGTTACGGGAGCTTACCCGGTGGTATCGAGGAGCACAGCTTATGGTGTAACAAGATGCCGAAGTAAGAGCTCAACAGTAGATCACCGAGGAAAAACCGAATACTTAGTCACAGTCGAAATTTGTCCACAGTATGTAATGTACACTAAGCGGTGTAAAGGCAACAGTCCAGCAGATGTGTGAATCCAAATTAGGAAGATAGTCCAAGTTCAATCAAACATCTTGCCCATGGGACGACGGTATTTCCAGCTTGCAGCATTTGGAACAAAGCTATTAAGTGTCACTAGGTAGAATGACAAATGCGGTAAGAAAGCACAAGATGGTGGGTGCACACATTGCTGCCGTCAAGTAAATACTTCTAAAAAATACTGGCAAGCCTGACCGTGAATATGACCAACTGAGTTTGATGCGCGAAGCGGATGATCGAAGTTTAGCCGCGCCTAAAAGGACAGAAATCATTGGCACTACGTCAAGGTTGACGCCTCAGCTTTGGTAGTGACCCGTTCGCTTCTCCAAGGCCACAAGCGTTAGTTGGGCTTGTGAACAGGCTTTTCCAGATAAATGTCAACAAATTTCGGATAACGTTAGTGGTGAGAATTCACTTGGCCATATAACGTCTATAAGTAATAGACATTACACATTTCGTTGTCCAGGGCAAAACAAGGATGCCCTAAAAATGCAGTTATATGAAGGAGACTTGTTCGAGCTACCGCTAGCGGAAAAGCATTCGATACGTTTTTAGCGTATAGGATAATTATGAGCGTAATAGTGACCAGCTCTCGGTCATCAGCCACACATCCAATGCAGGTGAAATGAAGCATATGCGAGTGTCTGCACGCCGGCATGAAACTCGTGACGCATGCATTCATTTCAGTTGATTGACTAGGATCTGAGCACCGAAATGTGGTAGATTCAGCTGTCATGACTCGTCCAATCATGAAAATAAGAGGAAAAATAAGAAACCGGAGAAAAGGCAAAATGCGAGAACACAAACTACTAGAGGAAACCAACCGATTCGCCAGGGAAGTACATGGCAAGCGAAAGAGGCAGAGAGTTCTACTCTAAGTTAGTCGTCTAACGCAAACAGCTTACTGTCTATGGTTGAACGGTGAAGTTATGTGCACACACCAATGTCCATGCTTCCTGAACCTCCTGCACAGTCGCGTTCCCAGGGTCGGTGCGGGATAGTCATCTAGCATGTGAGCTCAGGTTAAAAGCCATATGACTGGGGGGTGACTCGCGCTTGTATGTCGGGTATGTGTGGGCAACCGCCTAGTGTGATGAACAAAAGTGATGAGTCGTGCTATTTCGATGCTTCTCGGCAATAGAGCTCGCTGAGAATGGGTTGAATTTTGACGAAGCTCCACAAGAAGTTCAGTTCAGTAGGTAGTCATGCTTCCGCTGCGACTGCCTACCAAATAATCGCAGTGAAGTGTTACTATACATTTGGTCCTTTCTCTAAGTCAACTACCGAAGAAGAAAATGGCCTACGTGGTTCCCTGGTGCTCGATCCATCTCAGCAGTGGTGAACTGCTCACCAGTGAGACAGTCAACGAAACCCATGAAGGCATTGTTTGAACTGGGTGCCACATGTCCGAAACCACACGAGTCGTCCCCACTCCTTGCTCATGAAGGATTATAAGCCTTTGAATACTAGGCCGGAGCATCAGCTTCTCTCCTGGCATTGTGAAGTAAGGCAGAGTTTGTGAAAAGGTTAAAATAAATCGGCTCAGCACAGCACTCCTGCAAGCTCAGGCGAACAACAATGAATAAACCCCGCTGTAAGTGGAACTAAAATTGAGTAGCCCCGGGTAGGAAATTTCTTCACTAGAACTGCTGGTGCCGATTGAATACTCGGTGACGAAAGCCAACCTAGAAGAGTCGCCACCGTACTCGAGTCCTCATCATCGTGCCCCACGTTAGCTGCAGGTGGAAAACCACTCAGATTTAGAGACGCAGAAAAAAAGATGAAACGAGGCACGCCGACTGAGTCACCAGTAACAGATGAAGATCGTTACGAAAAACTAACAACCGGCTATTGTGCCGCAAAGTAGTAATATTATCCTTAATAATGGAGATCGCGGTTGGAGGGGGAGGCTACGCGACGGAAGGGGACACAGAAACTCACAACACAAACGCCACTGAGGTCGGCTCCTAGCCATGTCAACAAGTGTATCCAGCCAAACGTGTTCATCGTACGTGAAGTGGCGCCTGTGAGCTGCAGGTGACGTGTTTGGGGGCTCAAACGTATAGGCTCTAACCTCGAGCACTGATTGCATCCGCGTTGGTGGCACATTTCACTTCCGTATTTGTACATGACCAGGCTTCTGCGCCGAGTTTAATGTGTGTGATCCCTACCAAATTTGACAGCCTGGATGGCAGTGCGGAAAATATTCACAATCTACTTGTCAGTCTTCGTGACATGAAGCCTGACGGCCCCGATGGGCTCCACCCGTTGATTCTCACGTTTTTGTCCGCCATCAGGCCACCTTCCGTGAATGACCTGTTCGACAGAGTTGTGCCCGAAGATTCATCGCCGAGCGACTAAAGATGCTCGATAGTTAAGCCGATTCTAAAAGGCAGTGACTTAAATGATATGGACAATTACCGGCCAAGTTGTCTGATCTCTGTTCTGGCCACGGTGCTCGAGGTCGAGAAAGGTCGGCTACAGCTGATAGAATCGAAAGGCCTGACGCATGTACGCAGTGTTTCAAGAATGGCTTCTCATACATCACTAACTTGATGGTGACGAGGTGTGAATAACTGTAACTACTGAATTAGTGGAAGTCAGCCAATGTGATCAACAGTGAGCTCAGTAAAGAGTTACACAAGGTAAGTCATGAAGCCCTCCTGCACATTCTGAAAAGGTGAGGTGTTCGTGGATTGCTGCACTAGATGATCACCGGTTTCCTTATTGGACGAAAGTGGAAGGTTCAGACAGACGACCGTATAGCTCAATGGCAGCTTTCAACTAATGGCGTACCACGTGTCACACTATTGAGGCCCATCTTGTTCCAGATCTACACCAACAAAGTATCTCAGCTTTTTCGATCACCAAGAACTTAGCAAATGACCTCAAGATTTGGAGAGTAATTAATATTCCCAATAATTTCAACATACTTCAGCATGACCCGGGTCGGCTGTCCATGTGGTATGCCGAGGTGGATCTGCCGGCCAACTCAGTAAAGACGTGAGTTATGAGTCTAGGGCAAAGTCATGATGGGTGAATGTACACTTGCCGCCCACACCCTACATCGTCCATGAAGGACCTAGACAAGATCTCATGTTGCGACCTCGAGTTCGTGGACGGCGCGAACAGTCTACATTGAAACAGACTACGTACGTTTTTGACACAGACACAGCTTCCACACTTTGCATGAAGATATTGCCACACACCTCTTCTGTTTCAACATAATACCAACGCTAAACTATGACTCACGCCCATTGACCGATCACCCGGAGCGGTGTAAAAATTGGAACGGGTTCAGCAATTAGTTTCCGGGTTCAATCCCAAATTTAGCAGGTTTCATTCGCAGACTGGTGCAAGTATCGATGGTTTCGAGTTGAGCTCATAATGAACCACCGGATATTACATAACTTTCAATGTTTATAGTATTCAGTAGCCGAACCCAGCCTTGTCTACCCAAAAGTTTCTCAGATGTAGCATCCCAAATGAATGCATCAAATGTATTGTAATCATAAGAGGTCTAATGCACTTGAATCATGTAATGAAAACAGATAAACAAACATCAAAAAACAATACTACCAAATTGGTAATGAAGGCGGAGGGCATATGCGAATAACTAACCTGGTGCACACCCCAAGAGGAAATAAAGTTGAAGTTCCCACTGTCTGCTTTCATTCGCAAATATTCCCGAAGCGGTACTACTTGTTCGGTGATTATATGGAAGTCACCTTCCAATTTGGTGCTGCTAAGCTCGGTGCCACCCAACCAATTCAAGATGTTCGGATGTCGTAGAGCTTTCATCCACTTTACAGTTTGACGAAGGGATTCCAAAACCAACTCCTTGTCAGAAGAAGATAGACAATTGGAATAAAGTGACATGGAAAACATGGTGACCTCCTGGTTGTTCTGTTTTCGATGTAAAGCACGCCGGATCCGCCATTCTGAACGATAAGGAGCTTGGATAGTACAAGTACGATTCGGATCGGAAGGAACTAGTGAAAATCCGGGCACGGGATCGTTCGTGAAACCAAGTCCAATGGAACTAACAGCGCCCAAAGTAGCACCGGAGTCTTTGTTGCCAAACAACCACATCACATTACCAGCTAGAAAAAAGTCGAAGAAGAGCTAGTGGAGCAACTCTAGTAATGGATATTATACACATATGTAACAGAGGATAAACCACGAAGGGGCAGATCAAAACCAGACGGAGAAATAGAAAGGTTACTGAAGTGAAGTATGGCTCCGTTCAATGAATGTAGATCCAATGATCTATAATAAGGCGTTGTGGAGTAAAGATCCCTGATCCAAGTGAAATAACCCTTAAATGTACTCGCAGTGGCTGCAAGAACATAGTAAAAACTATGGAGAAATGAGGAAAGAGGTAACTATTGCAATATAGTTGATAGTAATGAAGCGCATATCCATCGAAAACTTTGGATGACATTCAGCGACACCCCACCGTGCACGAAAACGATGATAGCAAGAAAGAAAAAGATACAGAGATCATGGAACAGTAAGGATAACATAGCGGTGGCGCTGGCCTTCAGTTGACTTGCATGTCCACTTTTGGAGAATAAAGGTGTCTAAATAAGCTGAGCAACCGTGCTTGTTAGGCTTGAGTGACCAAAAACACTAACCTACGCACTCCAGCAAAAGTGCAGGGTATCGGTGTCATACAGCCAGCAATCAACGAGGACAATTATGGTGATGAGCTCAGTTCAATCTAGCTAAACAACTCAGGGTCGGGCACCGAGGTCTGTTGGCTCAAGCCTCAGGACTCGCGTCCCTAGACCATGGTGATGAGAAAAGCCAAACAGAGACTATTAGGGAGTGAAAGTGAAGCCCTGGGTCAAGACGTTTACATCGCACAAAGAGAGCTGGAACAAAGCACTGACCGTACAGCAAAGACAAGATGGCAGCGGGGGTCAGCTTTCTCGCGGATAACTCGACCACGTTTATTAATTATAAGGCTGATAACCATGGAGTAAACACCATAAAAAGGTAACTTAGGGAGGAGAAACGGGAAGCACCATATTGATGAGGGTTGCGTACCACATCTTGCAATGCCTCTGGCCATGCGGAAAGAGGGTTGTGTTAACCCCAATCGGAGAGAGGAGCGGATCAACAGGACCTAGATAGTAACTTAGTGACTTTATTTTCCGATGAAGAAGCAGCAGGCATTACCGTAAACCCTAGTGCGTTTAACATCCCATGAGACAAGCCATACACAGCAAGTGCCTGGGATCACATATGGTCCAGTCATAGTCAACTAACATGAGACATATTACTTCGCATGCGCCCATGCATCTCATCGTTCCAGAAGCGTCAAGTGCAAATAAATTAATAGCAGTAGATGTGAGGTGTTCAGTTGTGGTCACTCATCCAGTAACGATAAAAAGAGGAAAAATAATAAGTGGATAAAAACATAAATCTGCTCAAAGATGAAAAGCGGCAGTCAAGATAGGTTAAGAGAAGAAAAGGCTTATAACCAGAAGGGTCAGCAAGAGCGCCACTGACATTGCGAATGTCGCGATTAAAATAACAATATCTGGAAGCAACCCTCTTCCGAAAAAATTCTCAATAAAAAGGTTCACACTAAAGCACCACACGAATTAACTTCGGACAAATTTCTCTGCATATTCTCAAGTGCGTACTACAGAACACGTGAAAATTAATAGCATCATGAAGGGTTAAGAAAGTTGAAATAGCAAATTCACCAACATACATACACCCACATACACGCGCACACACGTCTTTGTCAATTCATCAGCTGTCTATTGGCTTACTACCAGGGTAGATCCAGAGTGACGAAAGCGTCCTTCTGCACGCACAGACTAGGATCAAGCTGTTTGATTGGGACCGCCTCAGTGTGTCGTAGCACATGAGTGTTGTTTGATGCGTAGATCACACTGAACATACGCATGGGGTCAACACAGTGTTTGTCGGTCAGGAGATGGCGGGCGATGGATGACGCAGGCGTCTTAAAAGGTTGACCACTTGCGTTCTTTGGCTGCGCAAGTTGGGTGGTGGACGGGGCTAGGTTCGAAATGTGATTCTTGACCCACGCTGGGATATGCTCCGCGATTCTCACCCGCAACTGGCGCTCTGTCATGCCTATGTAAGTGGCCTTGCAATTACATGTAAATTTGTAAACGATGTGTGAATGGCTGGACAGATGTAGCGGCGGTTTAACCGAAGGTGTGCGAATGCGCGTCGTTGTGTATACCAGTACGGGTTGCGCCGCGGGATACACTCGTGCAACCGCGGATTTCAAACGCCGTTGAAATATTTGGCCTACATCATCTTTAAACGGTAGCTTCAGTGTAACTTTAAGCTTTGGCACGGTGGGCACCCTCTATTTTTCCCTCTTCTTACTGAAGTGTGCGATGTAAGAGTTTGGATACCCGTTTTCTACTACGGTGGTAGGAGGAATCGCACCTCTTCATCCAGCGTGTCTGGCGTGCAGACTTTTCTTACTCTGTCAAACAGGGTCTGCACTAATCCATGTTTGTAGCGCTTGGTAAGAACTATAAAAATTCCGATACTGGCCCTTCCACGTCGGCTTACGTTATACCGTTCTACGTACGTAACAGTCCTGAGTTCGATCAGTAAGTCAAGATACCGCATGCTATTATTCTGCTCTCACTATATTGTCACCCTGATGTTTTGATGCAGGTCATTTAGTCTGGTGTTCTGTTACCTTAGTTATTCCTCTTGATCACAAATGAGCAATATATCGTCCATATATTGGCGAAATAGAACGGATTGATAGATTTTGTTCTTGACTTGGTCTTCAAGGTGAGCAATGAAAATGTCCGCTAAGAGCGGTTCCAGTGGACTACCCATTGCAACACCATCCACCTGTCGAAACCCTTGCGTTTGAAAATGGAACTTCACATTCGATGTTCTTAAGAGCAGGAGCCGTTCTATTTTGGACATTGGAATATCCAGTTCTAATTGGCTCTCAGCCACATAGTTGCATATGTTCTGGATAGTCTATTTCCTTGGTACCTTGGTGAATAGTGAGACTATATCGACGCTAGTTCGAACGTGTCCTTTAAGCTGTGCTTAACTATTGATTTCTTAACTGGCTCCAGTATTGTCACTAGCCGTTTAGCCAGCTTGTGTTACGGCGAGTTGCTCATGGATAAGATTGGCCTTAGTGGAACATCCACCTTGTGTAATTTTGGCAGCCCATAAAACTGAGGTGTTTGCGTGCCTCTAGGTCTTAAGGATTTTGCGGTTGCAGCGGTAATGAAGTTTCCTTCTAACAAAGTCTGCAATTCCGTGTTTATCCTTCTCTCTAGTTCAGCCGGGTTGTCAGGGCTATCGTCGGGTTCGAACTTTGTGTGGTCATTAAGTATCGTCATCATCTTCTCCACATAGGCGGATTTGTCTAACACCACAGCGCCCGATCCCTTGTGGGGGTGAAGGATAACTACTTTTCCTTTGGCTCTGAGCTGCTTTAAGGCACTAAATGCTTGGACTCAGAGGATTTTTGTCTGGAGGTCGTAATTCGATATTGATGTACTAGATCAACGAGTTTGTAAAGTTTATAAACTTTTGCCGTTATACTGTGCGTGAAGCTTGGAAAATCTGAATTGAGCGTTTTGAAAAGACATTGAACCAAACTTTTTGGGTCTGTTTTACCTTTTGATCCATCGAGATATGTAACTAACCTCTCATCTATCTAATTGACTCAGCTGCAACTTGAGGCACTGTCCTGTGGTCTAAAATTTTGTGTTCCCCCTCAGAGCATTAACAAGATAGAAACCCAGGCGCAGCTCGAGGTATTCTATAGACAACTTGATGGACTCACACCAACATCCAGGGATAACGAGCAGTGGCTGAAAGCAAAACTCGTTGATCTAGAACATCAATATCGAATTACGACCTCCAGACAAAGATCCCCTGAGTCCAAGCATTTAGATGCTTTGAAGTAGCTCAGACCTGAAGGAAAAGTAGTCACCTTTCACTCAGACAAGAGATCGAGTGTTGTGATGTTAATCAAACCTGCCTATGTGAAGAAGATGATGACGATACTTAGTGACCACGCAAAGTTCGAAGCGGACGATATCCCTGACAACCCGTCTGAACTAAAGAGAATAATAAACACTGAATTGTAGACTTTGTTAGAAGGACACTTCATTACCGCCGCAACCGCAAAATCCTTACGACCCAGAGGCACACAGACACCTCAGCTTTATGGGCTGCTAAAATTACACGAGGGACATGTTCCATTAAGGCCAATGTTATTCATGAGCAAGTCGCCGCAACACAAACTGGCTAAATGGCTAGTGACAGTGCTGGAGCCAGTTAAGAAGTTAATGGTTAAGCACAGCTTAAAAGATACATTCGAACTAGAGGAACTGTTGGATGGTGTCCAGCTAAGTGGAAACTCTATGGCTAGCATCGATTTAGTCTCACTATTCACCAACGTACCACTGAAAGAGTCTATCCAGATCAAATGCAACCATGTAACTGAAAGCCAATTAGAACTGGGTATTCCAGTGTCCGAAATAGAACGGCTCCTGCTGTTAAGTACATCGAATGTGAAGTTCTATTTTCAAAAGCAAGGGTTTCGGCAGGTGGATGGTGTTGCAATGGGTAGTCCACTCGGACCGCTCTTAGCGGATATTTTCATTGCTCACCTTGAAAATCAAGTCAAGGACGAAATCCACCAATCCGTGCTATTTCGCCGATACATGGACGATATATTGATCATTTGTGATCAAGAGGAACAACTAACGCAACTGAACACCAGATTAAATGACCTGCATCAAAACATCAGGATGACAATAGAGCGAGAGCAGAATGATAGCATGCCGTTTCTTGACGTACTGATCGAACGCAGAACTGATGGATCGGTACGTAGATCGGTATACCGTAAGCCGACGTGGAAGGGTCAGTATCTGAATTTTTATAGTTTTGTACCCAAACGCTACAAACAGGGATTGGTGCAGACCCTGTTTGACAGAGCAAGAAAAATCTGCACGCCAGACACGCTAGATGAAGAGGTGCGATTCCTCACTAACACCCTAGAAGAAAACGGGTATCCAAATTCTTTCATCGCACACTTCAGTAAGAAGAGGGAGAAAGAGAA